ACACAATTACTTGTTACCCCAGTAATTTACACTGAGTGTCATTGTGTTATGAGAAACATCCTACCCTTCCCGTATGAGTATATTGTCATATCATATAACTGATAAAGTCTGCAGTGCTGGCATCAATGGTTCCATCAAAAATGCTAACGCACTTAGCACAGAACTCAAGGTAAAATTATTATTATTATTACTTATCGTAACTGCGCATATAAGATATCAGATTGAAGCTGAGATTCCACAGATTCTATAGGTATTAGTATCATCACTGAGCGATCAGAACTTGCGACAGGGGAAGCAAACACAGACATCACAACACGTAGATTTACGGAGCATTCACGGGAGATTGTCTCACCTTAGCTGTTATTCTGATCAAAAGTGGTGCTCAATGGCATTAAAACAATAAAAATACTGCTGAAGGTTAATCCATAGGTTAATCCAATGTGTCTGTCACTTTGAAATGATTACTGATAATCCATCATTCAATTTTTATGTCAAACACGGAGATTTAATATTAGCCGCTAATGTTAGCCACCAGAGTGTATCGCAGCTTCCGGTTCTGGGGCATTCTGGTTGCGCATCACTCATTCACCAATGGGTAATGTTTAGATGGATTTTAGGAACTTCTCCTCGATTCTATTGGTGCTAACGGTTAAGAGGTGACAATCATCAAAATCGACCGAGGGGGGCCAGAGATACGGAAAATCCACCCAAATGACCCCAGTAGTGTTTTAAAAAAAAAATTGTATCTCTCTAAAAAGGTCAAATGTAACTTGTTTTGCATCAATCTTGATAAAGGGTGCCTATTATGTTATAGTTCCGATTCCTAAAGCTTTTAGTCTAACATCATTCAAGGGTGGTTTTCACTAAAAGCATTATTATTTTTTGGACGGACACTACAATTTACATTTTTTTTTTTTACTATGTTCAATCTGAATTTACTTAAATAAACAATCTATATTGATTCTGACTTTTCTACATCCAACTCACAGGTTTATCATTGCTTTGAGAAAAAAGATTATTAATTTACCCCTTTTTTAGAAGTGAAGTTATGGTCATTTGTTCTGGGAATGTCATTTTCGAGCCTGAGACCTGGAAAACAGGCTCAGGGCTTATCAGGTTAAGTCTATAAACTGCAACATGTCGGCTTGGCAGTTGGCTGAGGTTAAATTACCATCCTCTTGTTTCCTCTAACTTTTACTGTGACACATTAAAAGGTGGGTAATTCACTTCAGAAACACTTTTTGTTATATTCCATGGAATACTCTTAACACCCCGATAGCAATGAATATATTAAATGCTTTGACAATAAATACATTAAAAAAATATCNTTTGAGTTCAACATGTAAGAAGTAGAAAGTACAGGTATTTGTGTTCAACATGTAAGAAGTAGAAAGTACAGGTATTTACAGGGTTCAAAATGTAAGAAGTAGAAAGTACAGGTATTTGTGTTCAACATGTAAGAAGTAGAAAGTACAGGTATTAGTGTTCAAAATGTAAGAAGTCAAAGTAAAAAGTAGTCAGAAAAATAAGTAGTGGAGTAAAGTACTGATACCAGAAACATGTACTTAAGTACAGTAACTAAGTATTTGTATTCCACTACTTCTGCCTATGACAGGTGTTTGGCTCCTACCTGTGTACTTGGCGATGTTCTCCAGCAGCAGAGGGTACTTGGTGACTCTCTGCATCTCCACAGGGATGATGTCCTTCAGCTGCAGCCGGCGGCACAGACGGTTACTCTCAGCCTCCTGAAGTAATGAATATAAAGATAATTAAAATAGATAAAACATCTTTAAAATGCCCTCACAGACGAAGCAAAGCGGGATCTCCAGAGGGCAGCGGAAAGCCAAGCAAGGACATTTTAAAACATGAAGACAAATGATGAAAAATGTAGGAAACTGTTTTTTTAATGTGATTATTTAAAAAAATGTAGATAATTTTTTCCCTTCTTATAATAATTTGCATCCATTTGATTGAGTCTAAATACAATCCTATACATTTTAAATGATCAGTTCTATATCTGTAAATCCATATACTTTTAAAATAGGTTCATATAGATACAAATCAACATTGAATCAATAAATAATCTTCTTTGCCTCAACAAAAAATACTTGAAAGTGACTTTTTATGAATGAAAGAATAATGAAAAAATATTAAAAGAATGAAAAAAGTTGACTTTCTCTAAATTAAAATACTTTCACTACACCGAGTCTGAGTGGCACTACCTCTGATCTCTTTACTTAAAGAGCATCTTGCAGGTTTTTATTTTTTCTACATTTATGCTTAAACTTGCTTGAAAATTACAATTAAAAAAGTGAATGCAGGATTTGATAAGTTTTACGAGACATAAGGGCAGGAATTCAGAGGGAAAGGAGCAATTTTGAGCTCTGCTCTTAAAAACGGCTTTTGGGTGGGGTAGGTAATTCCCTTCAGAAACACTTTTTGTTATATTCCATGGAATACTCTTAACACCCCGATAGCAATGAATATATTAAATGCTTTGACAATAAATACATTAAAAAAATATCCTCTGTGGAAGCTGTGACGCTGTAAAAAGCATGACCAATCATCTGAGCCGGCCCGGCTAAAATAACTGGATGGCCTACCTGCCTGTCAGCATCAGCAACTTATCTGGTGCCCTCATTGGTCATGTGCGTGTTTATGTGTGTTGGAGGAGGGGCTCTGTAAGGAAGTCTGAAGGAAGGGGCAGATATTTTTCGGTTGTGTACTTTCAAATTCGAGCGCACTCGAGCTGGTTTCTCCATTCTTACCTACCCTACCTTTAAGGCATTCAAACTGTAGAGCTGTTGTTATTAAGCTTGCATTTATTTTGATTCTGTCACGAGCTGTGAAATGGAAAACTTTGTCGAATAGAAATGACTATATTGCGAGTTTGGCTGTATTCATATAAATGCAGAATAGGATCTTTGCAAACAAGAGGAGAGTGAACAGACGTTTAAAAAGCTGAGACTCAGAAGCCTTACCAGATGTTAGATGTGATGCACAGTTTTGCTATTACCCACATCAAAAGCAAACAAAGAAGAGATTTGGCAATTTCCTGTTAGTGGTGATGCACTGCAGTGAAGCGGAAGATATTCAAAAAAAGACTTCAGGGCAAACTTTGAATCTACAGCACAAACCCTCACCTTTTATCTTCTTCTCTTTTCAGAACAATATGAATCTTTTGTGAAATTCACACAAGACCAGATCATGCGAAGATACGGAGCCCGGACTGCTAGTTGTGAGTATCTTAAAGATCTCTTTCCTTCTCCCTTAAATAATACATTTCTTGTTGAGAGTAAAACGATTATAATCTGATTTGTATTGGGTCTGACTACAGCTTCAATCCATTTGATGTGTTTCAGATGTCTCCTGAATTCACCATGATGAGATCCCAGCTTCCTGTCACAAGATGGCTGCCCCCGTTCGACTTGATTTTCATTTTAATTACCTAAACACCGCCCCCCCCCCTCCCTCTCAAACTGTTCGGGTGCCATGGTTTATCTTTTTTTTAATCCAAATGTTGATTTCTTCTTCAAAACTATTGCTGCTGGCCAAAAGTAAAAATAATCTGAAAGAGAAACTATGTATGAAGCCCACCCTCTTTTTTGAACCTTTTTTCTTGTTCATATACTCTTTCCGGAAATCCTGACTAAAGCAGATCCGTGTCAAATCTCTTGCCGGTGCTGTAGAAAAAAGCGTAATGATCATTCTGTATAACCTCCAGCAGCTGTATTTAATGGCTCCTGCTTATCACATTGTCCCCCTTTTCTCCACCTCCCTCCCTTCTCACAACTCATCACCTGAGAATGTGGATTTTTCTCCCTTTTGAAAAAAATAAAAGTTATGTGATTAAAATCTGTTGTCTGCGATGTTTTCGAAAAGCAAGTATGTGTTTCAAGTAACATGGGTAGTTGACAAGCTGTTGAATACATTACACATCCTAATCAGAAGTTTGCCAAACTGAACTGTAGAAATTAAAATGTCCATTTCTCCCCGAGCAAGAGACTTCTCTGTTGGCCTACAAGTTGAACTCAATCAGGATGGTCTCGCCTAAAACTGTAGCAGGTGACAAAAGAGATTTTGATGATCTATACATTTTTACGGACATTTTATAAGCCCGAAATTACAAACCTTGTTCCTCTTTTTTACTGTTTAACATTTTGTGAAATAAATATATTTGGGTTTGGACGACTACATTTTGCCTCTTAACACATTTCTGACATGAATTTATACACAAAATTATTCATTAACAATAATAGTTGTAGAGGGTATTCTCAAAACAAAATGTTTTTTTATTAAAGGGATTATGGCCATGGTTCCGTTTGTATATCTGCTCATGTATTAATGTATAATACATTTATTTTTATAAAAACATTTTCTATAGTTTTGGATCTTAGAAATACTCACATGATCCACTAATAGTCGTAGGTGTTTATGTTGCTGTTACTTCAACTGCTCATATCAGTGATGTATAACAATCTCCGAAGTACATTTTGTTATGAGTACCTCCGATGTAAAATCTATGGCCTGTAATCACTTAATACACTGGGTTACATAATTCAATCATGGAACTACAGGTTGGGGGTATTTTTCCGCACGGACACTAATGCCTACTGTACCTCCGGGGTATATACTGTGTCCTCCTTTCTCTTTCTCTTCTCTTGTCGGGCTCCGACCCAACAATATTTTCTGCTGCTCAATGAAGCCAGCTTTGTACCTTCATTGCACCGCCTCCGACTCCCTTCTCTCGGCACTACAGGCCATTCCTTTGTTCCTAATCGTGGACTCTACTTCCACCTTGTGGTTTATTTGAGGTAATGCGAAATTCATATTCAAATTGGACTTTAACCTTCTATACACTTTACTAAATTACACGCTTTCCAGTCTACTGTACCACACAGCACCGTGGATAAAAAAAATGGACGCTTATGGTGCCATTTTTCCCGGGCTGTGAATGTGAGGGAGGAGAGGGAGGGATAATGTGGATAATGGGTCGGTGACGTCACTAATCCCAGGTGTGGCACGAGGAAACAGGTAGGTTGTTGTTGTCGCGCGCAGGTAGCAGACATCATTATTCGCTGTGCTTCTGTAAAACTGTCCAGTCGAGGAGTGGAAGAGGTGGCTTGTTTAGGTTGAGGAAGGAAGCTTCTTGCAGGAAGAAGCAAGGAGAGGACCTATAATTATCTCCAAGGGCTCTTCCCTTTTTTGTGTGCCTCGGAACCCACATTGACGGTCGGTTTTGGGAAGGGATTCCGCGTGTTTTACTGAAAACATGGAGGACTTTTGTTGAAAACGTAACTATTTCGAATTCTGGTAGAGTATCTGAACTCATGCACTCTTGAGTCTCACCTATTGAGCTGTTTGAATTAGTTTAGCTGGATCAATATTTATGCGTTTGGGACCGCCTGGAGCCCTGCAGTCTTCCTGTTGAAGGTTTAGGTGAGTAAAGACCACAGTCATGTCGAAGTCATTAAAAAAAAACGTTGGAAAATGTCCTAATGGCTAGGAGCCTTCACTATGTTTTTAACGTTGTCAGTATTGGTTTACTGAGTATTCTCAGAAACGCCCAGTAAACAGGAAATGCTAATTGACATGCTGTGGTTACTTACTGTAACTGTGTTCTCTATCAGCTTCTTTTCAGTCAGGAACATATACAGTTTCATGTTCAGTGTTGTTTTGTGTAAAACTTCTGCTTTTTCACATGTTATTAACTGTCTGATGTCGCCTACGTCACCAATACCTTTTTATAAGTATGCATTTAATTACACCTAAATACATATTGAAACACCATTACATATATCTATCTCACTATGTCATTCTGGATATCTAAATGTAATTTCAGGCGAGCCTTCAGTCAGAGTTATCATACAAACCTGTGTACATAATATATCTGACCTTATCACCTCGCTAGATCACACCCTTTCCACTTAAAACACAGCATTGTAGTACAGGACTCTGGGGTTTGACAATTGTACACAATCATGCACACTTTGACAGATACAGGTGTTAAAATGTGTCAGATACTATTATCCTTATAAAATAAAACTGGTAAATTGTCAGATTTTCCAGCACCTCAAAGTGTGAGAAAGTGATGTTTTTCATTTTCTCGTATAATAGTAAACTGAATATCTTAGGGTTTTGGATGAAATAGGACATCTGAAGTTTAAATCGGCATTTCCACAATATGTACACATATTTTATGGACATCTATTAATCCATACTGGGAATAATAGTAATTGGAAGTCATCAGTTTTGTCTATTTGTAAGACAAATCCTGGCTTCCACAGTATAAGTACATTTCTGTCTCAATATGTGCCATTTTATTAGGTGCCCCTTACTAATGCAGTGTAACTCAGAAGGCTTCGCAATGAACTGAGTTTTTGTTAAAGCTGTTTCAGAGAGGTGATAATGATTTATGGTTTACTTAGTGGCCCATCCCTGACTCAGAGTGTTAACCCTGCTGTGCTGCAGGTTTGGAGGACAGTGATGGAGGACAATGACATCGAGCAGCAGGAGCCGTTGCCTGTGGACCGAGACGGGCGGCGGCTCCGGTTCACAGAGGACCAGCCCGACGGCAAAAGAAAGATCGGATGTTGTGAGAAGTTCCAGCTGTCTGTCTCCAAATGGATGCTTCCAGAAGACTCCCGCAGCAAATACCTAGAACGAGCCAACTGCTGCCCTCCCCCCATCTTCATCATCCTCATCAGTATTGCAGAGGTAGCTCATGTCCTGTGTTTGAGTGCTAGGACCATCAGTATGGATTCTGTTATCTAATTATACATGCCGCCTACATATGCTGTCTGGGTTTTAATTACTGTATAGATTTACTGTGATGGTGTTTAGTAGACCAGTTAGAGGTGAAGTTATACAAGGGATATTTTGAAGTCCTGACACTTATGGAAACTGTTTTCTTATTTTTTAATGGAAAAGTGTGGATTTGACTCTGACTAAGTGCTCTAAACTAAGAGGCTTTTGTACAGCAATGAGTTCATTTCTTTCTTCCTGTCTATTTTGGCATCGCCATCCCCGCCTCTGAATATCCTGATTCATAAAGTGCAGTCCTCACCAGCGGGCAGTAGGCATGGTGTCAATGAAAACATTATTTTTCAGTATTTGTATCTTGAGGTTAGGTTCGGTGAGACTCTGAAATCTTTCTTTTTTCCTGAAAGTGTTAAAAAAAAACACTCTCTTTTGGACTTTTGGATTCAGGTTATTAAATAGTGGAATGTGGAGGATCAGTGGTTGAGGAAGGATGCTGTAGCCTCCCAAAACTATGAATTTAAAGCAAGGTATACTGTTTTCATTACAACGTAGGTAAAGCCACTACGAATGCTTTTAAAGTAAGATTGTATTAATGTGAAGGAGAATTACTTAGAAGGTCGTTTCTCCAGAATCCAAAGAATGTAAGACTTGTGACTAGCAGGAGATGTTTACTTAACTTTCTGTTGGATTTAACAAATGTAATTCTTTACATAATTTGACTTATTTGTGTCTGAAATGGCTGGCCTGCTGCACTTTTGAGTACCCATATTTAGAAGGAAAAAATGGTGTCTATTAATGTTTAAGTCAGCAAGAAATACATTGTAAACAAAAGATTCAAGGCTTTATTGTCATGTGTACAGTAGCTACAGTGTAGATATGGCAATGAACAACTTAAGTCTCTTAAGATATTGAATGACATAGTAAAACACAATTGTAATGATATCAAATATTGTTGACACATATAATATACACCGGTCCTTGTTTCTACATTATACTGTGGTATAAAGGTTTATATACTGTATGGTAAGAGCTGACACCAAACCCTCTTTCTTATCACTGATCGTTTTGCATACTTGGGATGAACAGCTCACTCGTTGTCGCTCACAGATGTCCACTGTCACTGCATTTGAATGTCTGTGAATACTCATTTATTTGGGAGAGGATGCACTTTATTTATCCAGACAAGATCGACTGAGCTGCAGTGTTGTCTCTCAGCATGCCATCGCTGTATATTCCCACAGAATTAGCAGGCATTAAGACGTATGAGCTCTTAATGCCTGCTAATTCTGATTCATCATTCCCATCTTTATTTTCTCAGCTGTTTAGCTTCTACCCCCACACTTGCTGCTCCAAACAGTTTGTATTCTCTGAAGACTGACTTGTGTATATTTTCTGTTCTTCATCAGCTGGCAGTGTTTATCTACTACGCTGTGTGGAAGCCTCAGAAGCAGTGGGTGACCCTGGATAAAGGCATCTGGAATAGCCCCCTAACTTACAAGCCTGAGCTCAGGCAGGAAGCATGGCGCTTTATCTCCTACATGTTTGTCCATGCTGGGTAAGCATGGGCAGTCCTTTTTAGAAACCCTAATTACACGAGTCACTGTGGGGAGTGGAAACATACCCACACACTCTTTACAGTACAGTGTCTTGCTGTATAGTCCATCATCTTTGTGGGGTTTATTTGAGTCAATCAGAGCTTATGATTCAGCTCTTCTGTCATTTTTGAGACTGCAGTTTGTAACCACTGCAACTCTGCTTTTTACAGTGTTCCTAAGTTTGGTATATGTCTTCATGATTTGGACACTTCCCCCTTATTGCTGCGTTGCTTCAGCATGTTGTTATTAGCTTTGTATAGGTGGGTACGTGGTTAGACATCTGTCAACACATGGTTAAGTCATTGGATGTAGCGAGCAAACAGTCTAAAAATCATGGTTATATAACCCAAAGGGGAACAAGAAACCATGACTACACAGAAGCACATAGAAAGAGGAACATTCACACGCAAACTGACTGATAGACACCCTGCAGGATATTTGCTTAAAGGATAACAAATGATGTGTTTCCCAACAAATCCCATGAAAAGACCATGTAGCCAGAAGTATGTTATTCCTCTTTGCGGTGGACCCCTGTTGTTATCCAAAAACTATTAAAACAACATGTTCCTTTATTAAAATGAACCCAGGCTCTGTAACTTATATTGAGTCAACCCCACATACAACATCCTGCTAACAAATACTCACTAGTGCACCTAATGTAGTCGGGCAAAAGCACTCTTTACTTCTGTTTTATTTACATTTGTATAAACCTAAAGTGCAGCTGTTTCACACAAATCACTGAGCTGTTTTTTTAATAATACTATTATACATTTCTGACCAGTTTAAAAAAAATCTTCAATTGGAAAAGTGCCAAAGACAAGGTAGTGTTCTTCATATTGGAAGGCACCGGACTTTCCTTGTAATACCCCTACATTGTTTTAAAATAGCCATCAACACCTAGTATGTACTGCAGGGCTGTGTATGTTTATAACATACTGTCTGCCCCCTGACATTTCATCTGGGGAAGTATATGTTGCTTATTGTCCACCTCTGCCTTTAGGGTGGAGCACATCGTGGGGAACCTGGTGATGCAGCTGCTGCTGGGCATCCCGCTGGAGCTGGTGCACAAAGGGTTTGAAGTGGGGATGATTTACATGGCGGGAGTCTTAGCAGGTGAGTTTGAGAGAAAGAGGATTTTCTTTCTTTTTTTAAAGTTAATTATTTTCTTTTTTTTAGATGTTATTAATAACTCTATATCTATCAATCTATGTGCCTTTGATGCCAATATTTTTAATATTTTATTTTTATTAATATATATATTTTTTTTAAATCACACGACCGCCCTTCAAGCCAATCAGAATCGAGCTGCCGCTACTGAGAGTGAAACTGAGGCCGTTTCTCAATCGCGAGGATACTGGCTTGGTAGTCGCATACTTCCAAGTCACTTCCTTCAGAAACGAAGCAAGTATACTTCCAAGCCACGGCTTCGGAAAACAAAGAAGAATGGAACAGGCTAACAAGTGTGCCACTCTCTCTAACGGTTTCAACATAAACTGTACCGAAAATAAATACCTCACGATGTCTATCTAATTATGAACTTGCTTTACTTTTACGGAAAACATTTTTGGTGATAACAAATGCAACAAAGTAACATATTTACCAACACATGTTCTACGTCACTACATACTTACATTTAAATATGTGCTGTGTTGCGTCGGTTCAGCCATTCTCCGCAAGGGTTTTTGAAATTGGTCCGTGGGCAAAGCATTGTGGGGATTTGAAGGACGTGAAGTCTACCCATGTGCGGCCTCGAAATTTCCCCCAAACCAAGGACGCGGCCTCGGTGGAATTCCAAGTATGCTGGAGATTGGAACAGTCCTTCGGCGGCACTCAATGACGTAGTATCCTTGAAATATTGGCTTGGAAGCCAGTTTCCTCGAGATTGAGAAACGGCCAGTGTATCTGCTCAGCTTTTGGAGCAAGTGAGAGCTAGTGAATATTTCGCTCTGCATCTAGATGAGAGCACGGATGTAGCAAATATTGACGTTTATATATATATGTATATATATATATATATATATATATGAATATAAATATGTTTATTGTTAATATTACTGTTGAATATTATATATAATATTATTAAGGCATAAGTAGCTTTCAAAAATGCTAAAAATATGTTAATTGTTCATATTACTGTTCAAAACTATATAATATTATAAAGACAGAAATCACTTTAAAAATGCTTTAAAAATATGTTTACTGTTGATATTACTGTTTAATATTGTGTTAAGAATGTTTATAACAGAACACACAATGAATTTAATGAATGAAAAACAAAAGATAAATACAAAAAATGTTTAGAAGAATAACTGATTATTAATTATTAATACAAATATATATTAAGAAAATGTGTTAAGCTGTATAGTCATATTTTCCATCAGAATGTACTTATCATTTAAAAAGAAAATTACAACAGGGGGGTCCCCGCCAGACGATAATGCTATATGGGGGTCCTTGGCATGGCAAAGTTTGGGAACCTCTGGCCTAAAGGACTAAGCTAGCACTACATTACGTTGTTCAACCCTGTTTTGTAGACTGCCAATAAATGAGCCTTGAATCTGTGCTTGACTTCACGCGACTTGATCAGGGTCTGTGAACGCACCCAGAGATCAAACACCATCTTGAAGTTGTTTTTTCCTGTTGGAGTTGGATCGAGTCCCAGCCGTCAGAAATGCCACAGATTTTGAAAACTGATCCCTTTCTCTGTTTCCCCTCAGGCTCTTTGGCCAGCTCCATCTTTGATCCTCTCAGCGCTCTGGTGGGAGCTTCTGGGGGCGTCTACGCTCTGATAGGAGGATACTTTATGAACGCAGTGGTGGTGAGTTTACATAAAGCTCAAAGTTGGTATGAAGTGTTTACTTTGCCTTACACACTTAGATTTTCCACTGCTCAATGTTTGAGATAGTATGTAAAACATACTGAGAGCATTTGATGTTTTAAATGTATATGTTATACCTAATGTTTACAATGAGAAGACAACACTTTTGATTTTGTCCAATTAATGTACATAACATTTACTTTTAACAACACGTTTCCTGTAGTGGTCTAATAAATGGTCAAAATATAGCAGATATCAACATGTGCGTACACTACCTGCTCGCTCAAATGTTTAAAGTAAATGTCATATTGATGGTCTCTGAACGTCTTTTAAGGGATCATTTGTATGTGTCCAAAGTACTGAGCACACATCCAATACCTTGTACCTTCATATTATTGTTTTGAAGCATATTGTTCTGAAATTACTTTTGCATTTCTCTCTTTGTGATTCCTTCACTTTATTTCCAGGACTATATTAATTCGATGCACTTTGTAAGCTAAAATGCATATAAATATGGTGACTGATCATTTGATTTCATTTCCCAGAATTTCCGAGAGATGATTCCTCTCCTTGGAATATTCCGAATCGTGGCCATTGTGATATTTGGTACGTCCATGTATTTTTAACAATTTTGTATTTATTTTATACCTGCTGCAATCATACTTCAAAATAACATTTATACTTTATTTTCCCCAGTTGGAACAGATTTTGGATTTGCCTTCTACAGAAGATTTGTCACCCACGAGGATGGTTTGAATGTAAGCTGTTCCTTCCTCTGTACAGTAGAGGCTATCAGCAGAAACTAAACCCTTCCTAAACTCTTCCCGATAACAAAATAGCCTCAAGAGAAACCCAGTTGATCCCGCTAACCTCCCCCAAGCTGACGGTGTCTGATGATGGGTTTGATTTGCTTGTGGCTACAGGCAGTATCAGTAGCTCTTGCTGGGACTTGATTATTCTTCCAGATGAATACCTGTAAAAGGCCACAGACTAAAACAAACAAAATAGTTTTGTTATTATGTTGACAAATTCAACTGAAGTATTTTCTTTCTGTTTGATAAAGCTTACTTATCTTACCTACTGATGGCCCCACCCCCCCGACTCTTTGCTTTGGCTGTTAAACTGGTCCTGCAGGTTTTTGGGCATGACAGTGCTTGAGGATAAATGTACCATTTAAATTGGGTAATTAGGCCTACAGGTTAACTGACTCTTACCCTCTCTCCGCCCAGGTGTCCTTTGTGGCTCATTTTGGAGGAATTGCAGCCGGGATGACCATCGGCTACGTCTTCTTCAGTGCTTACAACAAGAAGCTCCTCAAAGACCCTCGTTTCTGGCTGTGTATAGTGGGTTATGTCATCTTTGTGGTCTTTGCTGTGCTTTTTAATATTTTCCTGAGCCCAGCACCATAGGACAAAAAAAATAACCCACCAATATTTTCTTTTAAAATGACCACTATCTGCAGGAATCTGATGAACTGATGTTTTTCAGAGAAAAAGTAGCTTTTCAGGGAATTGGTAAATGTAGTGCACAGGGTATTTGTTGTTGTTTAAATCAGATCCTGTGGAAGGGGAATGAGGCCTCCTGCTGTTTATCAGTAGCATTGCAGCTTTTTCATGTTATACTGATGGGCAAAACGTGCCTTTTATAAAGTGATTAATTTAAAACTGAATTAAATATTTTTACCTTTTTAATATTTTGTTATTATGAATGATCGTTTTTACTTCTAATCAGGGAATTAGTGAACACACTGGTCCTATAAAATGTAATTCTTCCTGTTCTACTGTTTAAACTCTTAATGTTATGCTACCGTTTTATCACTCTGATGAATTATCAGGGACTCATATAGACTTTTAGTATTCATCCAATGTGCCTTAAACATGCTGAAATCCTCCACCACATTGAACATCAAATGAAGGCCCTGAACTAGAACAAAGAGTTTATAAAGAAGTCTCAAAATGATGCATTTCCGAAAACACAGCGTGACGGCTCTTTCCTTCTGAAAGCAATAGAGGAGTTTACCATCAGGCCATGGCTTAATGCCCTGCTATTGTTTCAGACACTTCCTGTTGACAGGACACGGCTGATTACATGTTGAGTTTTTTTAACTTGATTTACTGGTCTTATCCTTCTGTCATATTTTTTGTAATTTTTTACCTTGGAAAGACAAAAATGTGGCTTTAAACATGCAGTTTTTACCTTAATACAGTAGGTGTAGCTAGAATGTAACTGTTTGATATCATACAACACGTTTCAATAGTCTTTAAAAGTCATATTTAATATTACTGGCTTATGTCTGGTATGACAAGGGGATTGGATATTTAAAAAAATGTACTTAATTGATCTAAATTCAAAGGTAATCTACGACCAAAGAACCAACCAAAACCTCCTAGACTCCATTTCAAGAGCTAAGTGTTTATGCATTTTGAATAAAGTGATGTTTTTTTTAAGGATTGTTTTGTCAAATTGCATCCGAACCTATGCCTGAATAAGACATGAGTCATGATTTTGTCTGATAAATAGTTACAGATTTAACAGTAAACACCTTTTGTACAGTCCTCAGATTCATTTGTTAGCAGATAACACATTGCGTGTACAGCGGTTTGTTTGTTTGATTGTTTATATATCAGATTCAACCTATATAGCAGCATCTGCTTTTACAGTATGTGGAAAGTTCTATAGTTTCCAAACATAGCGCATCAATAAAACTTACATATCAATACTCAATTACCATGAGCATGTTTGCCTTGAGCCTGAAACACTGTGAAATGGTATGTTGGTATGTTGTCCAGCAAACAACGCTCTGTTGTCACAGCACTGCTAAAACCTTGCAATGTGCAGTTTTTCAACTTTTCCATCTTATTTTAAATATTTTGCTAGTGTTCATTGTGTAATGAACATACTGTATGTCCTTTCATAATAACTCATGATTATCTTGCTTTAAAGTACAATGCTGTAGGTTTCATAATTTGGTCTGATTATGCCCATAGACAGCAGATACAGTAGCATCAACTGACATCTTGCACTTCATAAAAAGTAAGGTTTAAATCTAATTTATTACCCTGTAACATGGTATTTCTTTTAGACCTTAAATGCTGGACTTGTGCAATTGGGAAAGTCAGAAATGAAGCTAGTTATAGCTTTCTCACGGCTATACAGGATATCTCTCAGCATGAATGCCTGCGGAAGGGAATTATTTATTTCCTAGGATGGCAAAGTCATGACCGGCCCTACCCCACCTCTGATTGGCTGAGGTCAGGCTACATTCATTTGGTCAACAAAAACAGATGATATTGAATCTCCCTTCTTACATCAAACATATGTCTCAGATGTTGGATTTGAGATGTCTAATAAGTAAATTAAAAATGGAAGTGTACTAGTAAGTCTACACAGAACACTTCACTAACCTTCATATTGTGGTCAATTCTAGTATCAAACTTAACATCTGTAACTTTCTGCACAGTGAAGGTCAAACATCTGAGTGAAGTAACAATCTAAAGATCCATAATGCTTTATAACCACCTGAAATAGTAGGCATATTTACCTATACTGTTTAATTGATATACTGTGTTAGTATTGTAGATAAAACATGTATACATTTTGTCAAAGAAACTTTTTTAATTTGGAATCAATGAACTGTGTTTTTCGCCAGTAAGCCAGGGAATGTCCCGGGGACGATGTCGAGGCTGAAATGGATTTCTCTGATTGAAAAGAGGGGAAATAACACTGGGATTTTCCCAATATGTTACCCCAGTGTGACCCTCTGCACCCCTAATGTGTCGGTATGAGACTGGTGAAATCAATCCAAGTTTTAGGTCAGAAGGGAAAAGTTCAGCATCAAATTAGAAAAAACAATCAGAGCTGAGCTGGTGGGTTGAATCTTGTTAAGACAAATTAAGCCAGATCCTCCCACTTTTTATAAATAGTTTGTGTTAACAAGCATGTTCATCACACAGGGGCCTTTAAAGGTATTTAGACTTGGACGCTGAGTGAAAAAGCCATCCAGCAGTTGGCAAGCACACTAATCCATTGGATAGATTAAAAAAATATAGATAGATAAATGGGATAAAATAAAGTGCATGAGAACTTAATTACACCCAGATAGGAGCAGAAGGGACATGATGACCCATTGATGACTTCGCTACAGAAGAACACTATTGATCGTTCGAGCCCTGAGAGAACAACATGGACTACTGTTTTCTCTTTGTTTCTACATAGGAAGCAAATACACTGAATGGTCTTAGTCTGGAACATAGTCTTGGTATTTCCCCCCACACCTGCTACACCCAAATGAGCCTTAAAACGTATGTATCATTTCTGCTGATTACCGCATGCACTGTTTCTGTTTGCAAAAAAAGAAAATGTAAAAAAAAGTGAGGTCAACATCTCTGTTACAAATGCTACCAGCCCCATCACTGTGAGGCCATGATCTAAATGCCTCAGTGAAGCTGTGTGTATTGATCAGCTCGTGTCAGAATGATGTTGGCAACCTTCCCTCAACAACTGGGTTGCTCCCACTTTGTTTCTGGCAACACAGAGGCAGAAGCGGGTCACCGAGGTTTGGGCTATGAACAGGGACTCATTTGGAGGGTGCTAACGATTTAAAAAAAACTTTTTGGTGACCGTGTTAGGGCTGTATGACCCGAGGAGATTTAAGTCACCACCGGCAGTCTGTCCACGCCGCTGCAAGGTAAATTGGGACACCCAATGATCAGATGTTGCCGTTGGGTTATATAACGACACAGCTGAGGGGAATGGTTTTATCATGACAAAACTGGGAAGCTGACCAGCCGATGGGACATGTCGCTGGATGTACCAGCTTTCTCCTTCTGCTCTATCTTTTTGTGCAAATATGTAGCATTAACGCTTTTTATTTTTTACGTTTTTTTTTACAATTGAATGTTTCATTTTTCAAATTGAGAGGTATTCTACTTTATTGATAACTCCATTGTTTCTGCAAAATCTAAAGGACTATCTTTACAATTTTTTCAGTTTTTTGTGATTTATCAAAAAACATTCTAATCTAAAAAGGCTGCTTGGATTGTCAACATGCATTTGCTGTCTGTCTTAAAATTCAACTTATTTCCTTAAAGTTGCACTGTACGCTCACATTTTTATAAACACATTTTAAACTGTTTTTCTAATTGTGTCATCCCTCTCCGTCACTTTCAACCAGTCAAAATGGCAGAGTGAAGATGGGGGACTGGAACTTCCTCGGGGGGATTTTGGAGGAGGTGCATATCCATTCCACTATGGTGGGCAAGATCTGGCTCACCATCCTGTTCATCTTCCGCATGCTGGTCCTCGGCGTGGCAGCTGAGGACGTGTGGAACGACGAGCAGGCGGACTTCATATGCAACACTGAGCAGCCGGGGTGCAGGAACGTGTGCTATGACCACGCTTTCCCAATATCGCTCATCCGCTACTGGGTGCTGCAGGTCATTTTTGTGTCTTCTCCCTCGCTGGTTTACATGGGCCACGCTCTCTACAGGCTGCGGGCGCTGGAGAAGGCCCGGCAGAAGAAGAAGGCTCTGCTGAGGAAGGAGCTGGAGTGGGTGGATGTGGAGTTGCCAGAAGCCAGGAAGAGGATTGAGCGGGAAATGAAGCAGCTTGATCAGGGGAAGCTGAACAAAGCTCCGCTAAGAGGCTCTCTGCTGCGCACCTACGTGGCTCACGTTGTCACCCGCTCTGTGGTCGAGGTGGCCTTCATGACCGGACAGTACCTCCTCTATGGCTTCCACCTCTACCCGCTCTTCAAGTGTGAGCAGGATCCTTGTCCCAACGCTGTGGACTGCTATGTTTCCAGACCCACAGAGAAGACTGTCTTCATGGTGTTCATGCAGTGCATCGCTGCCATCTCCCTCTTCCTTAACATCCTGGAGATCACGCATCTGGGTTACAAGAAGTTAAAAAAGGGCATCTTGGACTTCTACCCTCACTTTACAGACGAGAAGTTTGAACTTGATGACTTCTACGCCAACAGGTGTAAAAAAGAATCTGTTTTGCAGATGTGCAGCAGTGCTCCACGGAGAGCAACCGTTGCCTCTGCACCCTGTGACTACAACCTCCTGATTGAGAGGATGCAGGGCACTACTTTGTACCCAAACCTTATCAAACCTTCGACTTTTCTACCTCCTCAGGGTGAGCAGAAGGATTTGGGTGAGTCCAGATGTTTAGCTCATAGCATCCCAAATAGTAACGGCATTAAAGACCCTTGCTCTCTGTGCTGTGACCCCCTCATTAATCCAAAGCAGGAGGCTGAGGACTTGTTGCATCTTCAGAGTAAAGAGGATGGGGGCAGCGAAAGAGGCAGCCTGGACTCTCCAAAGAGCCCCAAGAGGGAAGCAGACCCTTCCTCCTTCCCCACGCTGCCAGTGAGTGCAGCGAGGAGGCCGTGGAGGGGTCAAGGGTCCTTGAAATGCTCCACAGTGTTGGAGGGTAGAAGCTCTGACTCTGATTCATATGGGGGGGAAAGAGCCAGCAAAGGACCTCCCTCCACTCAGAAATCAGACGGCAAACATCAGAGCCGGCCCTCCAGCCCTGATTCTCTGTATGACTCCAGCTCAGGGTCCAGGCACAACCCCAGACCCCCCTCCTCCAACTGCAAAACATCCGTGGCAAGCAATGCAAGCAGCAGACGGGCAGATCTGCAGATCTAAACTCCAAATGTTACAGGTGTATAGATGCCACCGTCATATCTACATTAACAGCACTCTAAGCTGCCTCATAATTGGTGAGCGTTTGCTCATATTTTGTTTTTTGTTCTTAATATTAAGTATAATATTGTGGCATGCTTTAAACCCCACTGCGATTTAGCTAATGGACATGACATGTAAACTGGCTTTTGTTGACATATTACAATAGAGGACTCTGTAAAGTATGTTTTATGTACTCTTTCAACTGTTTTGGAATAAACTATTTTCTATTGTGACAAACTGCTGGTAAAAGCACATTTGGTACAAGCATACATCTTATTTGTTCAACACAAGAATAGAAAGGCCTGCGATTGGACACAAATAGCTGTCAAACTAATCATTGAAGAGAAATGCCAGTATATCTGGCAACTTAACTTTCCATTTGGGCTGGGATCTATTTTCTCATTTCATTTTTATTTCTGAAAATAGTAGCACTTTGACAAGTCACTTTTTAAAATGTACAGTAGCATGGTATGGTAGACTTATGGCGCAAATGTGTACATTTGTAGAAACTTTATTTCTGGGTTGTTAGGGCATTAGTCGGGGGGGGGAATTGAGTAAACATTCATCAGTTTGCTGAGCATATCAACACTGTTGGATTACTCTCTAACTTGATAGTTTTGACTCTAAATGTATTTATATTAAACCTGGTAAAAACAACATGACCTTTTTTCTGTTCCACAAAGTCTTCATGTTATTATTAATATATTTATTAAAGGTTCATGAGAAGATCTTTTCTTCATTTGCATTGGAATAAAATGTAAAGGAATGACTGTTATACAATATTGACATACAGCTGTATCTGTATCTGACAGCAGCATCAGATCCTCTGCTTTTCAAATGAAAGTCCTGACTGATACTTCGCTCTTTGGAATCGAGTTCAATCAGTGACACGACAATGTTTGGAAGAATGTGCTTTATTTAACAATTGTTTAGTTACAGCAGATCTTTGGAAATAAAGTGTGTCTTTGTCCCACATTGCCATGACAGCAGGCATGTGTGTTTATAACTAAGGCAGAAAATAAAATTAACAGCATATCTGTTTTTTTCTTTTACAGACACTCCAAAATAACTAGATGTCCTATGTTTTAAGAACTGACTTATTCAGTCGTATAGAAGTGAGTTTTCTTAGTTAAGATAAAGACGTAACAAACAAGTAACAAACTTATATACATACATGTACAGAATAAGTTAAATTCTAAGAAACATATTAGAAAATAAGATTAACAGAAACAGGTACCTACAAATGATTGGCCTTTACGTTCAAGTGAACAAAATAAACAAATACCACATTCTTTAGGCCAAAACGCTGCTGTAACCTCGGCGTCAGTTTTCAGTTGAAGCTCCATCTTCAGGTTCATTGAGCTGCACGAGGAGAGAGGCCATCTTTGTTACAATACATGATGTTAACACGCACATAAGTTATACCATAGCAACCAGCAGAAGCTTACCTTTGATTTAAGCTCTTTGTTTTCCTCTACCAGACGAGCACACCTCTGCCTTAAGTCAATCACTTCCTGCTGCAGAGCCTCAGAGTCAGCTGTCGACTGACCCGCAGAATTGAGATGCTGCTTCACAAATCTGAGAAGGAGTTGGTTAAGGGCTCTAAAGCGAGCAGTGGCCTCCATTAATAACATCTGCACTTTACTCTTTACCATGGTTGTTGATGGAGGGTTGTTGGTGGACTTGAACTTCAGTCAGAACTAACTTAACAAAGAGACCATTTCTGCAAACAATCAATGAATAGAAGGATACTCCAGGGCATTGTTGGGCTTTTCAGGTTGTTCATACAAAGCCACTAAAACTGGAAAAAAATAGATGAATAAATGCATACAGGAATTATGAACAATGCTGATATGGGCTTAATATAATTGCCTGTTGACCAAATCTAATAAAGAAAAATGAGATAAGTTGAATACTTGGTCTTTCTTACTTGGGTTCTTTGCCTAGTTATTTCCAAAATAAATAATAATCTAGACTTTCTTTTTTCTTCTATACTATATTTATGTTCCCGACATTTGCATTACTTTGCTTGTATTTGTATTTCCTCATTAAATGTTTGTTGTAGTCACCTAACACTAAGGCAAATTACTTAGTAAATAAAGTTGGCAATCAAACTTACTATAAAAAGTCTGCCATTAGATGATGAAATGTTTGTATTGAAAGTTGTACATATTACCCAAGTCCAAAGGTAGAAAAAAGGTGGCCTACCACTGGTAAGACTGTCAACAACACCAGTTTTCTCCAAGTATCTCCGGAACTGTTCCCTTTTGGAGTCAGGAGCCTGTAGGAGAAACATCATGGCATTGCATTACTAACACAGGTACAGGTACTGTACTGTACAGGTACTGTCGGGTACAGTTAACTAAAAAAAAACATAGAAAATAGGTGCAAAAAAGCATTGATAATGTTTTAATAAAAAAAGAACAATAAGAAATACAAGATAAATATATACCGTATATATTTAATTTGAAATGTTTGTATTTCACTTTTATTTTATTTCTAAGACATTTTGTAACTATTGTATATTGACTGTCAAAATGCTGCTGCGTACTATTTAAATGACTAAAACACTCCATTAGTAATTTACATGATGCAAATGTCCTGCTTAATATTACTTCAAATGTAACTAAACAACTAACAACACATAAAAGGCAGCAGTACATTTGGTATATTGACATTATCTTTCATACGTTTATCCACAAACATTTACAAACCATATAATGAGCTGTCACAGGTGTTCAGGCGACTTACTGATTGACACCATGTAACTGCCCAGGTAGCTAATGTTAGCTCAGATAGCTTGCATTAAACTTTAGTAGACGAGTTTCTTCAAATAATTAATAAAACGCGACAGCAAACAAACTTACTCTATAATGTGCCATGGTGATCAAGGGCTATAAAGTTGACTCTCTTCTTATAAATGGTATGTTTTTGTATCACGCTCGATAGTGCAAAAACAAAACGTTGGGACGCAGGTAAAGCACCAGAAAAGTTCAGTTTCGTTTGTCGCCTTCTTTCAAGGAGCAACTGGTCTGGTGGGAAGGGTGATGCCTTCGGGTGTTCCTCGGAAAAACAATAACATGTATCGCACGTAAATTAGAGCTACAGTCATCACTTTACTTGAGTATATCCATGTTATGCTACTACATTTTAAAGGGAAACAGGGTAATTTTACTCAAAATCTTTGTTTGCCTATAACAGTAAAATGCTACTTTATTCAACAATATTATATATACTATGTCACATATATAAATATAATTATACTCACACATAATGGCCATTACTTTTACTTTGTATACCTTATATACGTTTGGCTGGTAATATTTTGAATGCAGGACTTTTACTTGTAATTGAGTATTTTGAAAATAATGTATTGGTACTTTTAATCAAGTAAAGCATCCTAATACTTCTTCCACCACTGTGCAAATCTACCTGCATAAAAAACACACACGAGGGAGCCAAGTAAATTCCGACATTTTACAGAGACCTTGAAAGTCGCTACTTCACTGAAGTGGTTACTGCCGCTATCTGCTGGTGATATTGCAGAACACTAGTACAACCCACTTTCTATTTAATGCATTTTTACGGCAAATGTGATGCAGCAATTATGAGTTTTTGCTACGAACTGAAACAGATTAAAACGATTGTGTCAAAAGTGTGTATCTGCTTCTTATTCGGGTGATAGGTCACAAAACAGGTCTGAGTACTAGTCAGGTGACAGTGAAAAACCTCAGTAGAGTGATAGGTTGCTTAAACCAATCACAGCTCGTCTTTGAATTCAGTCAGCCAATCAGACCCAAGAGGTGGGAACAAAGGGCGAGAGGAAATCCTAAGGAAATGTGTGGGATCACGCTCGGTGTTTCCAAGTAGCTTGAGCGTTATTGACAAACTGTTTTCATTGTGTAACGGTAGCTTGTGGTGCGCACCGTTCCTCCGACACAATAACGGGTGCAGTGACCGACAAGTAAGAGGGGGGGAAGAGGCGAACTGATAGGTCACAATGTCGATTCAGTACGAGGTGGAACAGCTGGCTGACAGCTACGGGGTTGCGGACTCGTTCCCCAAAGATTTCGGTTATGGTGAAGAAGAGGAGGCCGACATCGAGGACAGTCCGTCGCCGTCCGACAGCAAGCCGAGGATCCTGCTCATGGGTCTAAGAAGAAGTGGAAAATCATCCATACAGAAGGTAAACAGAGATGTTAAACTAGTAGCCTTTTGAGGCGAGCTTCCCTTCAGCCTTACACAAGTAAATGGGACGTTAGCCAGGATAGCTAGTTTAGCATGTCGTAGGTGATGTTAGCTATGAACCTGCAGATAGCTAGCCACATGAGTGGAATAACTGCAATTAAACCCCCTCCTGCAGCTAATGCCTAGCTAGCCTTCAGTGTTAGCTAACATTTGTGCAGCTGTAGTGGTGAATTATTAACCAGGTGGACAAGAGCTCGCTGGGTGCATCCTTACTGATACATGGACATAAAAGCATGTGACTGTTTGGTTAACAACTTATCCAACATGCCAAATATATCTTAGTCCCACCCTCGCAGCTGTGAGGCAGGTCTGATGTGTAGCTCTCACATGAACCGACCACACCTTCCTTTCTGCAAGTCATAACACTTTGCTTTAAATCAGTGCACCTGCAGTGTGGTCGACATGCTCTCTAAAACATGGCTGGATAAAGGAGTTAGGGGGCCTCGACTGACCCTCCTCCTACCATCTCATGTGTAGCATGATCCCATTCAAGTCCAGAGCACCAGCCCTCCCAGGGTTTCCCCTAGCATATGTTATAGATAGAAGATGTGCTACAACAGCAGATCCTGAAGCAGTTTGTCTTGTGATCAATTTACTTGACAGATGAAGACTTAAACAATAGTCACACTTAATACATATATAGCTTGGGCTGTGGGGAATAGAACCTCTATTTTCTCCCCTTCAGCTTGTATTGGTAGTTTCTTAAAGGTTTAATAATGCTTTTCAAAGCTGCGATGGTCCACCTTTGATACAAAAGAAATGAAGGAAAATCATTATTTTAAAATAAGGTTTTTGACACAGGTTCCCTCTTCAAGACATGCGCACAAAATAAGCCTTGTAAACATCATACATTAGTGATATCAATTCAGACAGATTTGGGCTTAATTAAACCAAGTGACATGCAATGTACCTGGGGCTTTTGGGGCCCCTACTTCCCCTGTTGGCCCTTTTGGTACTGCTTTTTATTTTTCGTGATCCATCTAACTCCCGACTGCAAGGTTAGCTGTTTCACTTAAATTCGTCAAGTCTACCTCTTTCTGACGGGCCCTGAGGTTGAATAATAGATGAGTAGCAGTGGTGCCGTCTTTGATATTTTATTATTTATGTTCAAAATGAAAAGGGGAAGTAGAATCAGACTGCATGTAGCGTGACTCGCCAAACCTCCTAACATTGCCTGAAGAAACAAGAGCAGAGAAGTTTTCTGTACTGAAGCGCACACTTGTACTGTTTGTGCTATAATCCACACCCGTCAGGTCTCAGATTAATGTCCCCCTGTAAGCCCCCGGGACCGGCTGGAAAACATGTGATTTGGCTTTTTGCTGGTTCATTGGCCTGTGACCTCAGTGGCCCACACACTGACTCCAAATTGAAGTAGAAAATAAACAGTCCAACGTCTTTCACCATCCGCCACGGCAGCTGGGTTTCTACCTGTAACTATTCAGTTCAACCTTTAACCGCACTTCACTTCATAAAGCTGCAGTCTTACTCTCTGCTGTTTGAGCATGTCGCTGAAACAGCAGAGGGATTTGTGGCATTAAGATGAGTCTGCAATATTTCTCTCTCGGCGAGCGTGTGACGTCCTAATGATGCTTTTGAGATAGGATAACAAATAATTCTGGAATAACCTCTCCACTGAGAAAAAGCATTATTTTGATACAGGCAATTTTGCAAAATACAACATGGTCACATTTTAAGAAGACAAACACTGCAATATTAGAAGCCAATCATACATACACTGTATGACGGTGAATCTATATACTGTATGCCCAACATGCATCATCATTTTATAACAAATGAGATGGAAGAATGTGAAACAAATGATTACTATATCCTCACAGACAATAAAACTAAGCAAAAGACAAAAGCTGACACGGGGCTGCTGTACGCCCGATATGTCTGAAAATTACACACATTTAAAAAAAAAAATTCTTTAGGGAAGTGGATCTAATTTCAATATTTTCTATCCTCAAAACCCATAAGGGCATCCACCTTTCAAAAATAAAAGTAGCAAGGAGGATTTTTTCTTCAGATAACTCAACTTATTAACTTGAACACCAGAGATTGGTTTTTGGCTCTAATATTATTATTGTGAAGTGCTGTAATCGTTGTATTATTTTCAAGCTTCACCAGGGCCAAGTGTTGTTGAATTCTGATGAGATTCCACCGTCACAAGCTGTATTCGGGAACTGTATCTCTTTGTTTGAAAGTAGCTCTGTGGTTTTCTCATAACCTGCTCGTCCGCTTTTGGCATCTCAACTTGGCCATCGCTCTGTCTGGGACTTATATTGGTACTTTTGAGCATCAAAGCATTTCTTTTACTCAAACACTTTTCTGATTTCAGGTGGTGTTCCACAAAATGTCTCCCAATGAGACCTTGTTCCTGGAGAGCACCAACAAGATCTACAAGGACGACATCTCCAGCAGCTCCTTCGTCAACTTCCAGATTTGGGACTTCCCGGGTCAGGTGGACTTCCTCGACCCCACCTTCGACTACGAGATGATCTTCAGAGGAACGGGGGCTTTGATATTTGTCATCGATGCTCAGGTGAAAAACAGAAACAAAGCATTAATGGTCATAAACCTGAGGAATGGAAATGTGGTTTCACAGCAACACTTTTGGGGGGTTTATACTGGTTTTAGATACTCTGAATTGCGTTACAAGCTGGCTCTGCTTGTAACACAAGGACAAGTCGCTCAAAAAGTCCAAAAAAATAATCTACAGTCTTCTCCTCGAATTTCGGTAACAACCTCAAGTTATAAGCTACATCAAAAGTAGCTGGGGACACCCCAGAAGAAAGCTTACCCTCTTGGATGAGGTCCAACTTGTAACGCTCTTGTTGCAATTCAGCTTCCCGCACCACTGTGGTTAACCTTAAATGCTCCATCTCAGTTTCCTGTTCACGAGCTCTAGCCCGGTCCTCAAGAGTACTTGCTCGTTCCTCACGTTCACTGTCTTGTTGGTACTGCGAGCAGCATTATTTCCTTTATTTCCTTTCTCTGTTCAAATGTCATTTCACCAAAATCAAACAAAGAAAAACCTGCACTTCTCTGCCGCTCTGGATTTATAGCTGCCAACTCATCCTCGGAACAATCATCGACAGCCATGCTGCAGAACTTCTTGCAGTACCAACTGGGCCTGTAACGTAGTCACTATGGTGTCTTTACGACCCTGCTTTGGAAGGTCTACCTCAAAATGCTCAGCAATTTTTAAAAGTTGGTCTTTAGTACATTTTTCCAGCAGTTCCACACTGGGACACTTAAGAAAATCTGTCAATGTATCCATGATTATGCAAACTCCCTTGAACCTGGTGCATATAAAAAGATATATATATTTTTTTTTTTAACTCTGGAATACCTCTCCCCTACCTCTCCCCTAGCTAACTTCCTACCCAATACTAACTATCTTGTCTCACCCTAGTCTTCATGCATGCCACGACAGGTGTTTTAAACACTTACCCAATGACCCGGTAAAGCCCCAGCGAAGCTGTTACTCACCAAGACTGCCACGGACGTGTACCCATGACAAAAATGTTGAATCATGTTTATGCACAACAATAACAAACCAACAAGCTCCCCTAAAGGAGATGTTGCTTATGCCTATCAGGAAAGGTAATTCCAAAGCTACTCCTTAATGCCCTACACCAGGAACAAACTGTCTACACAATCAAGGCAAACAAATCAAGTAAACAACTATCCCCTGGTTCTTGGATCCCGGACGAGACCCCATATGTTACAAGCTGGCTCTGCTTGTAACAAAAGGACAACAGTTCCACACAGGAGTTGCCCAAAACAATGATTTATTTATCCCAACGGAGTGGTTACAACCAACAATAAAACAAACACAGGAGCGGTGTCCTGGTGCACCGAGCAGGGCAGCTGAGAGAGAGCGAGAGCCTGTTCTGCAGAACAGGTGGGTTTCATCACTGCTGATTACAAGGAAACCCCAGGTTACCACATGGTGGACAACCACAGGGCTGTCACACTTGCTTGAAGCCATATTTCCATTTCGTCGAGGTGAAAGTGCACACATAAAGAGAACAAGCTTGTATTTTTAGTTCACACTGTTCATGTAAGCCCCTGATAATAAACTGATGGACAGCCAGAGTAGCCATGGTAAAAACAATGACATGCCCTGGCTTTTATGTCAGTGCTCTAAGTGCTTTCAAGAAGTAATCTCAGCGATGACACAGCAGATGTGATTGCAGGGTTTATTTGTACACAACAAGGTGTATCAGATTCGATTAGTTTCAGCACTCTGTCACGCGCTGATATCTGAGGAGACGTGTGCTGGTGTTGCTGTTTCGCTAGACCATGTGAAGCATTACATTTCCTCATTCCTTTAAAGAACATTATGTCCGCAAGCAACAGATGATTTTTAGCATGTTGTCACTCTAGCATTTTCAAAAGATGGGTGTGTTGATTTCTACTGTCAGGAATTCACTGTGACCTTATTGTCTATGGCTCAAATCCCAGTTTACCTCTAAATTATAATCTTTTGGTTTAACTAAAATACTGCTTACAATGTTAATCAAAGCAGAAGATCGATTAGAAGAGGGAGATTTCATTTTGAGGCATTAAAATATATACACAATCCTAATTATTTGTGTCTTGACTGCTGACGGTATAGAAGAAATAAAGGTGATTCATGATATGGAGATTCAATTTAAGAAGAAGATAATTGTGATCTCAAATGGATTAAAAGGTACTTGTAGATTTTGTTTTTCGTAATGCATTTTCTGTCTTTTTATGATTTCACTTCCTGATAATGTGTGCATATTAAATGGGTGTATTAAGATATGACCTTTTCCTCCTCTTAGGACGACTACGTGGAGGCCCTGAGCAGGCTCCACCTCACAGTGTCCCGCGCCTACAGAGTCAATCCAGAGATAAACTTTGAGGTGTTCATCCATAAAGTGGACGGCCTCTCAGACGATCACAAGATCGAGACGCAGAGAGACATCCATCAGAGAGCCAACGACGACCTGGCCGACGCTAGTTTAGAGAAGCTGCATCTCAGGTAACCTTCATCGAACATGTCTTATCATTTAAGAAGACATATTATATCCTGGCTTTCCACACAGTCACATGTTGGTATAGAAAGTATTTCTGATTCAGAGTTACACACACACACACATACACATACACACACACACACACACACACACACACATACACACACATACACATACACATACACATACACATACACACATACACACAGAGACAGACCTGTTATCTGCACATATTGCGTCATAGTTTCCTTATCACTCCTCCATCACTGTAAGGGCTTGCAAATAGGCTCTTCTACTTTGCCTACTAACACCAGACCAATAAATATAAAACTAAGATAACATTTCATAACACCTATATTAAATGGAGCATTATTCCGATTTGAAGTAACACCAAATGTATTGTTTTTACATCAGGGTGTGCTGCCTTTTAAACACATATGGATGCCCCATAGTGGTAGATATTTTCAAGACACCGGGTCAGACTTAAAGGGTTGCTATACGATAAAACATTTCCATGAGCACGTTTGCGATTTTTGTTATATTTCTATTTTCCCGATAATTAAGTCTGGTTTTAAGAAATGGACACTTTTTCAAATGTATAAAGAAACCTTCATACTTCAGTTCATCTTACGATATGAACGATTGAAGTTGGTTAGTTTGGGCTGCGAAGCCTAACAGTCACTGTTAAAGCAACGGCCTACCTTACCTGTCTGAGGCTTAATCACACTTATGTACATATTTTTTAACCACAGCAGCACACAACATGCTTACAGTAAGACTGTGGGTCAGATTTACCCAAATTCAATAAAACACATTGTTATAGCATTGAAAATAACTCTTAACAGTTTGGTACAGAAACTAATCTGAAAGCAATTCCCTTTAGAGAAACACCTTTACTTAACTTCACACTGAAGCTGGCCTAGAGTCAGCTCATCAGAAACATTGGTTCAAAGGACCTTCATTCTTACAGATTTCTTTCATGTGTTGTCTGCTTTCTTACCTTCATGTTAAACAGTCATTCATAATCTTGTTTCTTGCATGTTCCCAATAAAAGACAAGTCAATCCTCTAATGTAGCCCCTCTTGTGATGTCTCATGGTGTTTGGTGAGTTGTAACTGTGGTTGCTAAGTAAAACATATTAATTCAGTATTTCTCTAAAGACATCGGTGTTAAAACAACCAAACACATGTAGGTGCTAATATTCAGCCAGTCACACCCTCACACCCTCACTGCATCACATATGTGTTCATTTAGTAAATAAGGCTGCATTCACAAACACTTTAAGGTGTCCCAACTTTCTCTGCACATGTCGTACAACATCATTATCACCCCACGCGTTTGACTTAATGAAATGTAGTCCTAGAGACGGTTCTATGGTAAACCCAGTGGTTCAGAGGAGGAGCTTAATGGTTGCTTGGTTCTGTGATGTCAGCCATGTTGGTGTCCTGCATTCTCTGTGTTACTGTGAGATTCCTCTTTGTGCTCCTAATGAAGAAACATTGACCCGTGCTTCAGATACCAGAGAGGTTGTTATTCAACCAAGGTCTGACATGTTTAAGACTTAGAAAGAAGGCTAAAGTTCACATGTAGCGTTTGCTATTTTGAAATTGATCGAATTTCTGTCTTAGCAAAACGTTTTGTAACTTGAAGAAACAGCCCTGAGTAGAGCTCAACATGATTCATGGTTTAGGAACACAATGTAATTCATGAAAGTATTATCAATTGATGAAAGACACGGTGACATTTGTTTCTAATAAATCAATATATTTTGTATTATTTCCGTGTTAGATGCGAGGTTTGCTTTTTGCCCTTTTGGTCTGTAAATGAAATACCTCTGACATGTTTTGGATTACTGTTCACTTCTGATGACCGTGGTTATGCATGACTTATCATGTCATCAATACATCATTCTAGATTAACAACTATAAGGGAGAATAAGCGATTGGTTGAAGGAAAGATAATGTGTTGGTTACAATTTTGATAATTGATGCAATCAGGGCTTTTTATTAAGTTAAAATGGCAGAAATCCACTCAGGTTCCAGCCTGTCAAATATAAGAATGACTTTATGTTCTGTCCTTATTGTAAATAGAATATTCTGTGCTTTTGAATTGTTACAGAGACAAAACCAACAAGACACCAAGGGGATGTCATTCTGGGCTTTGGATAATAATAGTTTTTAGCATATCTTATAAAAACTAAATCAACTGTTTACTTTGTAACGCAAACAATTAATTGTTAGAGCCCTAATCAAAAATAAACAAATCAATATTTGCAGCCTTTGTCCTGACACACTGTAGGAGCTTGTTGTTTCTCTCTCTCTCTCTCTCTCTCTCTCTCTCTCTCTCTCTCAGCTTCTCTGGATGTTTGTTGGCACACACTGCTCTGTGTTTTATGTCGGGTCAGATTGTTGTTTATTCCGGTTAGACAGCAGGAGCACTCTCAGATATATTGCAGAGCTTGTTCTGCACCGTGGTTCTCCGGCGCTTCCTTCACTGTAATGCATTGAAAGGTTGAGCTACCACAGAACATTCTATTGGCTTCCTCGTGATCTCTTTTATTTGAACATGTGGGTATAAAGTCTTAATCATGTGTCCAGTTTCATCGTAGGAAGTTTCCTGCCAACATTGTATTTGTATTCCTGTGAATCGACTTAAACACTGCAGTTAACAGCTCTTTTCTTCCATGTCATGTGACCTCGTGACTATCTGTACTTTGACTTGCTTTCATGTGTGTTTTGAGGAAGTAAGAAGTGTTTCCTACGAGTATCTGCTAATTCACTTCCTTGTTTGTGTTTCTTTCTCATTCAGCTTTTACTTGACGAGTATTTACGACCACTCCATCTTTGAGGCCTTCAGCAAAGTGGTGCAGAAGCTCATCCCTCAGCTCCCCACTCTGGAGAACCTGCTCAACATCTTCATTTCTGTAAGTAGAGAACAGATATGGATAATAGTATTCAAACAGCTTATCTTGTTTAAGAGAAGGATATATTCGTCAGGCAAAAAGCCTTTCAAAAAGGTAAAGAGTCTAAAGGTCCAGCTCTGTTTTGAGACCTCTGATGTCATGATTAAGCACTGAAAATACTTCAAAGAGCATTACATTAAACTCTGTGTCTCTGCCTTTAACATGACTTGAAAGATTCAGATTCGTGGCTATGTATATCTTTCTCTGTTGGCCCATTTCCTTAACTGGATGATTAAAGAGGCGTTTAAATATTAAGTGAACACTTTATTTTGAAGCTGTGTGGAGTGAACTACACCAAAGTGAAGCCCAGGGTAACTCTACTTATCCTAAAGAAGAAGTGGGGAATACGGAGAGAATCCTCTAACCTATATTTACATTTCAATATTTGGATTTATAGTTTTAAAAAATAATCGTTGACATTTTGTTAGTGGATCAAATGCAGACGGGTCAGTTTTTATCTGATCGAACAAATTTAAAAGCTAGCCCAATGAAGGTGCTTTATCACATTGATACAAATCTAAACCATAATAAAGTACACCCATTAAAGGAGGGGTAGGTAATTCACTTCAGAAACACTTTTTGTTATATTCCATGGAATGCTCTTAACATCCCGATAGCAATGAATACATGAAATGCTTTGACAACAAATCCATTAAAAAATGCCATCTGTGGAAGCCGTGGTACTGTAAAAAGCACGACCAATCATCTGAGCCGGCCCGGCTAAAATAACTGGATGGCCTACCTGCCTGTCAGCCTTCCATCTGTGCACAAACTTATCTCGTGCCCTCATTGGTCATGTGTGGGTTCGTGTGTGTTGGAGGAGGGGCTCTGTAAGGAAGTCTGAAGGAAGGGGCAGATTTATTTTCGGCTGCGTACTTTCAAATTCTAGCGCACTGGAGCTGGTTTCTCCATTCTTACCTCCCCTACCTTTAACATAACAGGAGTGACTACCACAGTTTAGCAGCATCACTCCATCTAGGGCTGTAAAAATAATCAATGTGGCATTTTTCCGAAGTGAAAATATTTTTGAAAAAGTGTTTTTCTAGAAACACAAAAAAACTTGCCACATAAAAGTTGTAAACATTTAGATATTTAATGGTTGATTCATTCATTACAATTGAACATAGTCACTTCATTGATGGAATGGTTATTAAAGAAATTGCCCCACTCTCACTGTTGCCATATTAGTATTATCGAGCAGCATTTGTCTTCACATCGCCCAACCCTATTGTCTTAATATCAATGTCTCTACCGTATAAAACATGTATTTATGTCCCTCCTCTCTTCCTCCTCCTCTCTGTCCTCCTTGTGTGTCCCTGACAGAACTCGGGGATAGAGAAGGCCTTCCTGTTCGATGTGGTCAGTAAGATCTACATCGCCACAGACAGCTCTCCGGTGGACATGCAGTCCTACGAGCTGTGCTGCGACATGATCGACGTGGTCATCGACGTCTCCTGCATCTACGGGTGAGAGTGTGATCCGTCCATCATTAGTAATGGAGGTCAGAGTTGTTAACGGGTCTATCCGTCGTTCAAATGCAGCTTTTTTTTTTATTTTTATTTACAGGCTTAATATGTTTATTAAAGTGTTCATGCTTTTAAGAGCCGACTTGCAGTACCTTTTTTTAATTTGGTTTTAAATACAATTGTACTTATTCTTGTTTTTCTGTCCTGTGTTTATTGAGTTTTGGAGGTGTTGGGTTTTTTTTAATCACAGAATGATGTGTTGCTCTGTCTTTGACCATGAGGGTTAGATATGTTTTTATTTTTGTTTGGGGAAACATTTTTATGTAAAATGATTAACGACCTACGGAACAGTTTCTCTAAAGTAGATAAACATTTTAAATAAAGAATAAAGAACTTACATTTTTAATGATTTTTATGGTATCAAATAAGAAGCTTTCATTGAAGCAAAACCTAATTGCGTCACTTGTCTTCATCCACATGCACGAGCTGTAATTAAACCCACATTTCCCCTGCCCATCACGGTGTTCTTGTGCTTCATCTGGACAGTCTGAAGGAGGACGGCAGCGGCAGCGCCTACGACAAAGAGTCCATGGCCATCATCAAGCTGAACAACACCACGGTGCTCTACCTGAAGGAGGTCACCAAGTTCCTGGCCCTGGTGTGCATCCTGCGGGAGGAGAGCTTCGAGCGCAAAGGTAACCAGTCTGGAGCGAGGTGGACTTCAGTAGGCTGATAGTGATGTGGCTCTGATACTTCCCTCTGGATTATTCTAGCATTACAGAAAGTGTTTATTTACATTTAGTGTATGAAGTCAGAGGAAAGATATAGAAAATGTGTTTTAACTAAGTGTATGAAAGGGGGAAATGTAGTATTGCACTTATGGACGATAACAAACAAGACAGTTTTGGGAATTAATATTAATTATACATATATTACAATTAATAGTAAACGCCACATATTTTAGTTTGATGCAAGGCTAACATAACCTTCAATGTAATGGTTATTTTGTTATTGTTACTAGTATAACTGGTGATGAGTCAACTGTGTATCGGTGCCTCTTTAACTAGTTTGTGTCTGACTGTGCCTGGGAGACGCCATTTTTAGTTTGGTGGGTTCCTATAAATTACATTATAAAATAATTTGCATAAATTAAGTGACTATATTATAAGGCGTTACAATGCAATACAAGACCAGTCCATAAACTTCAGCCCAACTTCTCAAAGGGGACCAGTCGGATCTTTATTTTATGTTTCTTTCTTCTATTTCACGTGGATGTTGCTCTCTTTAATTGTTTATTTTTTGATGTAACAAAATAACTTGTTTAGGTGGAAGAACACTTTAATATGGGGATGTTGGAGGCATGGAAATCATTACAAAACGTTTCCTTTAATATACTACCTTTCCTCACACTAGTGTTGGTTTGCAATGCATCGCAAATGACATGTAGGAGCCTAACAGGACAAAGCACGTGACGCTATGAACACATCAAATATATTTAATGAGGGCTCCTTTTTGTTTTTAACAAATATTATGTTTTCTTTGATATTCAGGACCTAATGTTCCTGTAATTCAGACTCTCAAAAGAAAGTAAAAAAACACAATGTCCCCCACCACAGCCTGTTCGGTGGTCATGTCTGTCCCATGTTTTTGAAACGCAAGAACATTTAGACCTTATTTGTCAAAATGTCATCATGCGTTTACTTAATTTTTTTTTCTCGCCCCTTTTAGGATTAATAGACTACAACTTCCACTGTTTCCGGAAGGCCATCCATGAAGTGTTTGAGGTGGGGGTGACCACGCAGCGCGCAACAGCCTCCCAGGCGGTGGGCTCGCCCTGCAGCAAGGCCGTCGCTCTGAACGGGACGCCGCGCAACACTGTCTAGACACTGATCTCAAGAAAAAAAACAAAAAGATGCAAAAAAAGAGGACAGGAAAGGAAACAAGCAGAGAGCCTGTGGAGGAGAGAGTACTGAACTGGGGCTCACAGGCCACCAACCACAACCCCTTGCTCCTCCCAGCACCCAACGTACTGTGAGACAGCCAAGAGTGTGTCAGACAGCTCCAGCCAAGAGTGTGTGTGTGTGTGTGAGACAGCACAGCGACCTGTCAAGCTGGAAGGGAAATGCAAGCACTTGTTTCTGGGGAATTAGAGGCACTGTTAGGAAGTGAAAGAGAGAAAAACTGGACAGGGAAAAAAAGTCCAGGACCTTTCTTTGGATTTCACGGTCAAAGGCTGTGATAATTAGCTGCTTTGTCCCTCTCCACGGACAATGTGAGGAGGGAAAACAAACCCTTGTTGTGACCTCTTGCTTATGGACAAAACTTTGATGTCAGTTTGTAGGAATCTGTGTGGAGATGAACCCACCCCAGCCACTTCTGTGCTGATAGAAAAAAAAGGTGGTCGATGTGAACTACTGGTCCTAACACTCGTACATGTTCAGAGATGGCCTTATGGAGATGAAGCTTGTCTGCAGTGCAAGCTTTCTCAAACCACCACTCACCTCACCCTACCTGAATGCTGCCCGAAACTCGCTTTTTGGTTTCAATTGTGAAGGGAAAACAAGGTTTTTTGAGCAGACTGAAAAGGGATTGCGTTGTCCATATAACTGGGTCTCGTGTGTGTGTATGTATGTATGTATGTATGTATGTGTGTATGCAGGTAAATATGGAAGTAAGTGTGTGTATGCAGGTAAATATGGAAGTATGTTTGTGTGTGTGTGTGTGTGTGTGCGGGTGTCAATGAAAGGTTTTGATTGGGACCTTTTTACAGAAAGAGTTGATGACCTTCTCATAACAGCTGCTTAGCATATTAAACTCTTCATCCGTGAAAGTAACTTTTCTGTGCGCTCCTCTGAAAAAATTGACTTTATGATAGATTTTAGAAAATATTTTGGTTGGAAATTTGAAAATATTCCGAAAAAGCACTGCCAAAATATTGAAATGACTCGGTTTTAACCTTGTTGCCATTTATTTAGAAAAAATATTTGTTCTAAATACGGTAAGAAATTTTCGGAGGATAATATGAACTGGTTGAAACTTGCATGTTTTTCCTCCTACAGTTTCAGTCCTGCCCAAAATTATGAATTCTGTTTTTGTATTTAGTTTGGCTCTGTTCAGCAGGATTCACAAAAACAAAATGTACCCATTCCAAGCATGCATACATCGGTGTCGGCTTGCTCTCAACCGTCACAGAAAGAAAACCATGTGAGAAACTGCAACTAACCAAGACGAGTAAACAGATAAACAAGAGAAAGACCAGATGTCATTACTGTTGCCACAACGTTAAGATGCCTGTTTGTTTATATCGGGACTGATGTATGGAAACCCTGGCTGCATATAAAGACCTGAATGTCATGTTATCTTGATATATTTGCGCAAAATATTCATGTTGCAGATTTAACTCGGCAGACATTATTCCGGTAACTCTGTGAAACTGCTTCTTGAAACAGACCCTGAGACCCTCTTAATCTAGTCATTATTAGTCACCTGAAATTAACACTTGCACATCAGAACTGTGATGGATGATTGATTTTATGTATTGTGATGATGATATACTATGTGAAATAAATGAACATTTTAATTTTCAGTTTTTGTCTGTCACTGAAAAAGTGGGATATTGGGACTTGTTGCTAGGAGATAACTTAGAGGAGATTTAATGAAGTGCTCTTTAAATGGTCACACTACAGGCACAACGTTGTTTTTTTTATTCACTGGTCAATATTGAGAATTTGGGCTGTTTTGCTTCCTAAACATGTTTTATTTCAGACAGTTTAAAAAAATAATCCAAAATACTACTCTTTACATTATTCATAAATTCTCCAAGTTGGCCTCAGTTGCATAGTTCAACACTCTGAGACAACTTGTAATTCATATAAAACATGTGTCTTGTTGTAAATACTCAACTGTGAAAGGTGAATGGTTAAAATCTTTTACCCTATTCACCTGGATTATACCCCTAACATGTAATCTAAAAGCAAACACAAGATGGCGCTGTAGGACTATTCCAGCGTTCCCACGGTGAATCATTATTCATCTTTCCCCATTCACCAAGTACAATAACTGTTCTCATACTTGTTAAATTGACAGTTAGCTGTTTTTAAACCTGTATTCTGAATTTTACAGCCTGTTAGCGTACGACCATAAACGTCAGCAGCTTCTATAACCGCAGTGAGCGGGAGAGAGACCCCATTTCATTTATTGGCCCTGCAGTATGACCATAACAATAGAGCAAATTGGATTATTCAGTATTGATGTAACATAAACCTCGGCTGGCATAGGATTAGTAACAAAGTGACGTTTATATTTCCTGGATATCATTATGTTAACAGTCAAAATGTGCCTTTTAACCTTTGCATAAATGCTCCAAATGGTATTCGCAGAGTCTATAACCTGGGTGGGACCCACCCACCTATCACAATCACATCGGATTGAAAACTACAGTAATGGGAATAAATCACAACAATGATATACTTTAATAATAATACAATTAATAATGAGAGAAAACGGTAATGCTGTCAATTAAATACAAGGTGCTCTCTTATTAATACATTTGGTGAAAATAGACCTAGTATATTTCCAACTATATCAACTGATTGATTGACAACAACATCAAGGTGTTCACACCACACTACGACCACACGAGGGAGCCAATATCCTCATTGGCATTCTGTCAATATGTAAAAAGTGTCTCAAAGTGTCCCCTCGCATCAAATTTCATTTTTCTTTTCCTAAATATTCGGTCCAATGGCGTCCCTCGCAATTGCACTCCGGTAAGGCCGATCGCCATTCGCAGTGCTTCTCTGATGTGAAGTGCAATGTTTATAGTCAGTTTAGTTGTGTTTGCTGTTGTCTTTATGGCATTATGAGTGAGAAGAGGAAGGGAGAAAAGAAACCCCCTCACTGGTTTATAAAAACAACTCTGAATAGCTTCGCCATGCAAGTTATTCACCAGTTAAGTTAAATAAGCCTCAAAGCTACTGTCACGACCCATTATGTCGGGAGTAGGCGAGACAGCTAAACACCACTTCCACACAATTTAGATGCAATAAAACACTGACAGCTTTTTTATCCACTTCATTAAGCCAGTAATTTCTTATAAAAATCTCCCGCATTAATCCTGGCCATGGTTTCCCTGCGGTTCCTTAAGCTCTCCTCCAACCTTAGCCGCCTTGCTTTGATGCTTACTCAAATAGGCGCTAATTTGAGATAAATTATGCATCCTCATGTAGACTACCCATGCCAAGGAATATAAAGTGTGACACTCTGAAAGATGGTGAATTAAAGCAAAGTGTGATATCTCCACGGCCTAATGGCAGATAGGTTAGACCTGTCAGACTGATGCTTTGTTGATCTGCCAGTCACTTCCTGTTGGGAGAGGTCATGTTTGTGATGTTTTGAAGGTCATTTAGGATCAGCGCACTGGGCTTTTGAGGAAGTTACTCCAGAACTATTCAACTTGCATCTTGGGATAAAATGTATGTTTTTGTTTCCACTTAATAGAATAGAAAAAATAGACACAAATAAATGAATAAATAAGAGTGGTAAAAGCAGAGGTTGTAGTGATGACAGTGCAACGAGATACAATTCAATGTCGATGTGCATATTTACACGTACAGTCTAAAAACGTTAAATGAAAAAATAAAGGAATTCAAGTGTTACAACAGCAGAAGTAAAAGAACAGATGCATAAATTAGTATATTTTTGACATATAAATAAATCTACAAGTGAAGGGATACAAAGAGGTATCAAATATATTTAAAAAAAATAAACTCTACATTTGCAAAAAAAGATCAAAAATAACACTTGAAGCAGTGACATTTAGTGTTTAAGGGTCTTTAGATATAAGTGCAACCAGCTTAAAAAACTGTTATTGCGTACAAAAACATCTTCAAAGTTTGAGTCTATTACGGCAAAATGGTTGCTAAAGCTAATACAGATGGCAATATGTAATCCAATGCCAGTTTAAATATACAATTTCAACATTATCTTGAACATCTTTTAGCATTGTCCCCTGTTCATTCATAATCTAAGCGTTTATTTAATGGCTTTAATACAATAGCACCGGCAGGCAAGGCTGAATTTAAAGAGATTTATAAAACAGACAATGAGACAGAATGTCCATCACACGTAAGTCCAGTTTCTAATCAAGAAATTGTTACAAAAAAAAACATAACTCAACATGTATATGGACTTTAGGAGCACTCGCATCATTTATTAACTACTCAGTGACTTCTTGCAATCTCTAGATGGGGCTGTTGTCTGCGGTTTCAGCGTTTGTCCCTCACTCCTCTGGCAGGGTTTCTGCTCCACAGTGCAGGCAAAATGAAGATCAACATCACACACAGATTTAGAGCTAGAGGAAGAGGAAGACTGAGGAGAAGTTGAGGAAGCAGTAGAGAGAGAGCTGCATGATGTACAACTGTAATTTGGCAGCGTAGCAGCTGGTGAAATTGCCTTGCTTTATCAAAGGCAACCCTGCTTCGCCCCCTGTCCCCTAATAAGGCAGCTTAACCAATAATGAAATAAATCCAGCATAACATACTTTTGCCAGTTATGTGACGCTCACTTCCAGTCCACCCTTCATCTTAGATGTCTTAGTATAATTACAACAATGATATTGCCATTACGTTCTTAATAAAACTCGGTGCATTATCTCCCATCTTTACATTTTATTAGGCATGCTTCTGAGAGACGAGGGGAAAAATGATGAGAGTAAGTGAGACGTCTAAGATAGGTGACGGATGTAATACAGGCTTCATTTGTTATACTGTAAGGCAATGCAGCCTCCGAGTGTAATTATGCAGCAGGGACAGGGAGAGGTGGTGCTGAGATGGACAGTTTAGAGAGCTCTCAACAGCAGTTTTCTGACAAGTTAATGTCATCTCTTTCATTCTTTACTGCTGGAAAAAAAGGGAAACATTATACAGTGTCTAGTTCAAATGAAAGGGACATAGTGCAGTGATGACATACTTTGATTTAAAATCTGTTTCTGTGATATTTTCAATGTAACTTGTGATTTTTTTAGTCCCAAACCACCCAGTAATATGCCCATGGGTAAAGATATGAGTTGTTCCACTTAGATATTAGTGAACGTTACGGTGGCAGCCAGAGATTCAGATTCAGCTGCTGAATTTGGAAGGATTTGGATATTCTTGAAAGCAGAAACATGAATAATGAGATACTGTGGGCCAAACCTACTTGTGTCATTTTGATGTTCTTCTACTTCCATCTGTAGAAGAGGAATTTCTCTGACATATTTCTTTCACTACACTTCTTCGGTTAATAATGTTTTTTTTTAAAATAGGTTTTTATTCTAGATTAATAGAAATCTGTAAGAGCTAATGGGATAAGTTTATAGACAGAAGAGTAAGCATCAACTATCAATAATCCATTAACTATAAATACCAATCTTTCCCTTGTTCAGGCCAAAGTATTAATAGGGAAATTAATTTTCAGGATAATCTATAATGAAAATGACTATGAAGTCTATGTGGTTGATTCATTTATGAAAAACGTTTGAATAACTTTGTCAGAAAACATCATAGATTAAAAGAAGTACACTTCAAGTCATATTGAGGTATCAGAAACAAATATATTGAGCCTGCAACACCCAACTTCTCAAAGAACCTTTTTAAATGTTCCCATTTAGCCTTTACCCTCACGGAAACCCAGAGTGAGACTGTTGTAATTGAGCTGCAACCAAAACACACCTGCCTTTAAATCTCCTCTCTTTTAACTTCACAGCTTTCGAGCTCTACCAAAACTCCTACCCTAAATCCGCATCAGAGGGAGGAACTGGATATCGACAGAAGACGGGAAAGGATAACGAAAGTGGGAGTTAGAGGAAGGGACTGGCGTCTCCTGTATTTTCTCGCTCAGGCAGCAGAGCGTGGAGCGGAGAGGCCAGTGGGCCAGCAGCCAGCTAATGGGGACCAGCAGTGAGCAGGGGCCGGGGACATGGCTGACAAAAAGGAGCAGCGACAGATGCCATTATCTCAGCCTCATGCAGATACAATGGAGCTGGACGACACAGGGCCTGACACTGACAGACGTGCAGGAGTGTGTGTGTGTGTGTGTGTGTGTGTTTGTGTGGAGGGCCTAAGAGAGGGAACAAGTGTGTACACTGTGAGGTTAATGGAACACGATAGAGGAGAAGTGGATTATAGTGGAGACTCACATTTTTTGGTAACACTTGTCTGAGCTTTTCTGCACCCTATGCAAGCATGCATGCAAGCGTGTATATGCAATTGGAGTGTGTGTTGAGTACAGCCTACATGACCCTGTCTTGTTACAGAGAGACAGCCAGATCAGTCACCCGTCACTTGCTTAAAATTCAGGGGCGTAGTGAAACACACATCCCATTTGGTCCCAAATTTCTCTGGGTGCTACTCTTGACCTTAAAATATGCAGCAGCGTTCACTTTCCCCCAAAGGATGTTCTGGTCATTTGGAGAACCAAAAAACGTGTCAGGGTGGGGTTCCAGAGGGGGGGGAATAAGGGGAATTTGGCGATGCGCTTAGCAGGATTGGCAAAAGCGGAGAAGGGCTGTTAAGCAGCAGTTTTTTGGAGGGATAAGAAATGTGAGCT